TCGGGGCCCTCAGAAAATCATCCGATGTTTCTTCCTCAATCTGAAACGAAGTTTGATTTCACCGTGATCCTTTGGGTGTTGCAGGTACTTAAGCCCCCGGCCCCGTTGGGACCAGCAGTGACCACCCCGCAACCATCCAGACGAGACTTGCGTTTCGACGGTTCCAGCGGAGTTGCCCTTGTCAACAAAGCTTGAAACAATGAATAAAGTTGTCTTACACGTTTGGAAGTGTGCGGATGGGTGTTTTATTTGCACTTTATTGACGATCGCCGATAATGCAAAATGACACGATCTCTTTGTGATACTCGTCTTCAATCTAAAACGAAGTTGGCTTTGTAAATCTCAGGATGGCATGATGAAGGCAGGCAGTGGTTGGGAATACTGGCGGGGTCGATGGTTTTGGGTGAGGTTTGAGTGCCTCACGTCGCCCAAAGGCAAAGCCCATCTCATAAGTGACCACTCCACGAGAGACGCAGATAGTCTCACCAAATAGTTCAGACGCGTGTGGACACCGCCTGTGACTACATGTAAAAAAATCCGGAATTTCCGTCCCGAAATGGCCTCATTGTAAAAGTCAGCGCGTGGTCGTGCAAAAGATTCCAGTCTCCAGTGAATCATCACTTGAAAGCAAGTTGAAAAATGAAGAGCCTGTGCGGCGGCGGCAGCTTCGAGTACAATGGAACTGCATTTTGGTTCGTAATTGGTGTCTACTCACCTGTACTTTGTCATCCAGATGAAGCCGATGGAGTATGCGCCGAAATGTGACTGAGCCATCTGCTGGTAAGAAGGCTCATTTCACTTCAACAAGCATGTTCTCTGCAGAGTTGAACACTATTTTTTTTTTCTCTTCCTCTTCAGGCAGCAGTGAACATGATCGGCTTCCTGCACAAAAGACCCAACAACTTGACTCTCTCGATGGTAAGTTTCATGCCAAAAACATCTTTTTCTGCACAAGACATTGACTTGCGTGTAACTCGCGGATGTCTTTCCTCTCAGGTCAACGCACCTGTCCGACGTTCTTAAGAGCCGACCACTTCGCCACCCAGCGACGAGCAGACTGCCATCCAACTTGCAACATTTTCCTCTGCTTTGTGATTGTCTGTTCTGCAAAAGAAATAAAGCTTGATTACAAAGAACACTTAAACTCTCAACTTCATTCCAAAAATATCACTTAAAACATTTCAAAAAAAAAACATTCTAAAATTTTTTCAAAAATATTTTTTCAAATTTTTTTTTCAAAATTTTTTTTTCTGGATTTTTTTTTTTTCTGGGATTTTTTTTCTCCCCGGTTTCAAAATTTTTTTTTCTGGGATTTTTTTTCTCCCCGGGCAGAAAAATTGAGGAAAGTGGGTGTGGCATAGCTGGAATGATGGCTCATGATTCGCCGATGGCCGAGGAATTGGGTGGAGCATGGCAATAACATGCTGTAATTGGTGGAAACGAGGGTGTGGTTATGCAAATCAGGTCTGCTCCGATTGGCTGGGCCTTTGCGGGGCGGGGATATGCAAATTTAGGGCATTCTGATTGGTCGGAGTCTGGAAAGTGGGCGTGGCTATGCAAATCGGAGAGTTCTGATTGGCTATGCAAATTTATGCAAATGAGAGCCTCGACGTGATTGGTGGATGTGAAATTGGGTGTGGTTTGGGCAGGCTTTGCAGAAAAATTTCTAAGTCCCACTTGAGTTTTGAGGTGAGAGCTGCACTTCGGTCACACCAGACAGTCTTTTCACTGTTCCCGTCGGTT